CTATAGGTAGAGCAGGTCAGATTTCTTTTCCTGTGGAAAAGTTTGACAAATATTTAGTTTGTCCATTTTCTACAGGAAACTGTGTTTGATGAAAAATCAAAATGTCACTTCTGAAGTGCCACCAAGGTGCTTCCTGGGAGCTATACTTCAGTAGCCTTGTTCTGTTTATCTTCTGGTTGGACCATGTTTTCCATGATATTTTACAGCTTCTTCTTAGGATGAGTGGTTTAGAAGTTTAGACATAACACTCCTGTGTTCATATCTACAATGTCTTAGAGGAAATGTAGCCCAGCTGGAGAACATAGCAGAAACATTTGAGCTCCATGACCCATGGGATGCCATGGAACTATTCTAGAATCAAAGTGTTTTGAATTGAAGGCATTTTTATGGTAAAAAAAAAAATGTATTTTCCTGTGAAAAGCAGATCACCTTTCATGAACCAAAGTCTCAACTTTCCATTAGAATTAGGGCTTATCAAAATGTCAAAACTGTTACACAGATTTTGATCTCAGCAGTTTTCCTTTGGTAGGTGGGCTGGAACTGCCAAATTCCTCTCTGTAGGTAACAGAACAACCCTTTGGACAGTAACTATTTCTGTACTACTGACTAGGGTAGGTTCTATAACTCACCAAATCTCCCCCGAGCAACTGAATAATTCAGGGGGAAATTGTGGCTCTTCCTCCACAGTATTGGAGGGCTCCCAATAAAGTGGTTAACTTGCGATGAATAAAACCAGGTGCTCATTATAGTTGAAATTCTCCTCTCTCCTTGGCTATAAATATGTTCTGCTGAATGAAATCTTTCTGTTGCTGCAGAGGCTCCTGGTGTCTGACAGCAGGGCTAGAGACAGACATTACGCATAAACTGGTTTAAGTGACCAGAAGATGGTTTAAACCTGTAACAGGACAGACATTCAGTGCACATAAGCCAGTTTCAGAATGGCTGGAACCAGTCTGAGATAAATCTGGTTGAATGTAATATCATACTTTAACTGATTGAGCTCAAACCAGTTTATACAATGTCTGTCCCAGACCCCTTCCTGGTTTAACTTAAACCAGAGTCCTCCAGCATCCCAGCATGCTTTCTGGGCTGTGCTCTCTGCTCCAGAGCAGGGCTGGCCCCTTCCCTCTGCTCTCTAGCCCAAGCAGGGACGGGACCTGGCAAGACACTGGTTGGCGTAGCCTTATTAAGGCAAAGTGGGCAGGCAGGAAGGAAGGGGGTTGATTCTTGCCTCCTCCCCACTGTAGCTGAGGTCCACCTGTTTGCCAGGGAGCAGAGGAGAAGGTGCCGTGGCAGTGGTCCCTGGGGCTTCTCCTGCCCCCTTTACCTTAATGGGGTCATGCCTGGGCTCTGTTCTGTGCTGGGGGGAACTTTTCCCCCTCTTCCTCCTCCCCTCATGGTGGGGGAGGGCTCTGTGCAGTGCTGAAGGGGGACTCCTCTTCCTCTTCCTCCCCACCATCACTGTGGGGATGGCAGAAGACCTTTATGCAAGGCTGCCCGGCCCCTGAGGGGGCTCCTCCCCCTGTGCCTCCTCCACCATGGGGCAGGGAGGGTTACTCTGTTCAGTGCTGGGGGATACTCTTCTACCCTCTACCTCCTCCCTCAAGCTCCTGCTGCTTCACGGTGGGAAGTGGGGGCTCTGAGGCACTGTCCAGGAGGCCCAGCTGGGATGCAGGGAGCGGCTATAACTGAGCCACAGCTGCATCAGGTGGCCCTGCCCCCAAAGCCTGGGATGGCCTCACTCAGCTCCAGCTGAGGCAGCTGCATGGTGGGGCTGAGCCATGCTGCAGGGGAGGGGCCACCCCCAGCAGGTGCAGCTCAGTGATGGGGACACAGACCTGTCAGCACCACAACCTAGCCCAGCCCAGCCCAGCCCAGCACATGCAGCCAGCAGCTGGCCAGGCACAGGGGTACCTGGGCCAGCTCAGAGGCACCACAGGGAATCGTGGGTCTGCAACCAGCCCCCATGCTGTGGCCCAGGTAACCCTCTGAATCTGGCCTAGGTCACCCTCTGAATGGCCAGCCGCTGGCCATGCATGCTGGGCTGGGTCAGGCTGTGGTGCTGACAGGGCTCAGTGTCCCTGTCACTGAGCTGCACCTGCCAAGGGTGGCCCAACCCCCACAACCTGGTCCAGCCCAGCCCCACTATGTGGCTGCCTCAGTTGAAGCCCAGCAAGGCCAGCCTGGGCTGCAGGGGCAAGGCCACCCACAATAGCTGCGGCTCAGTTACAGGCACTCCCTGGGACTCCAGCTTAGTCAGGCTGGACCATCGCGCAGAGCCTTCCCACTCTGTCCTGCAGCGCTGGGGGTAGGGGGAAGAGTAGTAGGAGGAAGAGAAGTAACCTTCCAGCACTGAACAGAGCCCTCCTCCCCACCCCACAGGAGGAAGAGTCCTGCTCTGGGGCCTGGCAGTTTCACATAGAGCTCCCTCCCCACCCCACCGTGGTGTGGGAGGAGCAGAGGTAAGAGTCTCCTTCCCTGGCTGGGCAGCCTTGCAGAGCCCCCCTCCCCACCCTGTGGCACCAGGTGGGGGGAGGAGGAGAGGGAAGAGTCTCAGCAGCACTGAAAAGAGCCCCCCTCCCTGCCCTGTGGTGTTGGGAGAAAGGGAGGAGGGGGAAGAGTTTCCCTTTGGGCTCAGACAGCCCTTGTGTGCTGGGGTGGCTCCTGGCTGCCAGGGAACTGCAGGGTGGGCAGAGCTCTCCCCTCCTCCTCTCCACCCCCCCACTGCCACAGCGGTCTGGCCATGCTCCCTCTTCCCTCCCACCCCCCTGAACCCTGCAGGCCAAGGTTGGGGTTTTAAACCCCTCCTCAATCTTATTCAGGCCTGCCAGAGTGTGGCTATGTCCCCTCCCCCCAGCTCAGTTTCCCTGTGGAAGAGAATGGCTGCTTTAGTGCCCCCAGGCTTCTGGCCTGAACCACTGCAGGCATGTGCCTGCATTTCCAGAATGAAAAGGGAATGTCTATCCACTTGCAAACCAGTTCAATTTCTGCAGGTTAGACTAAACTGCAAAGCTTGAATCAATTCAGGCTCGGGCTTTTTGAATGTCTGTCCCTAGCCTATGAGGCAAAGGAACTGGCTGCCTTGTATAGATCCTTCATTGGGGGGGGGCGGGGCGGGGAGGGACTTGAGGAATTATGAGTAAAATAAAGAAAAGATAACACATTTTACTCTGATCTTTTAGTTTGGGGTTGTATTCTCAGATATTGTAATGGCAAGGAATGACCCCATGTTGTTTCCTGCTCTTTTGCTGCTGAAGAGAGATGCAAAGGAAACTGTTGGAATATGAATGCATTTTTCTCACCTCAACCTTGCTGCTCCAGGGAGCAAACTGCAAGGGTCCAGAGGTAGGAACAGACTGAAAGAGGGAGAATTTTAAGTGAGGCACCAGGAAATGTGTGTGGTTGTGTGCTTATGGGTGGGGGGAGGGGAGAATTCATCTGGGCTGGGGAAATTAATTAAAAAACAGATCTTTTTTTTATTTCTCTAGTTATATTGGTTAAATGGTTAACCAATAACACAACAGCTCAGACACAGCTGCTGCTGGGAGCCACTCCCTAGGGCCTTTGACAGGAGAGAGGAGGTGGTGGTAAGCCCTGCCAGACAACGCAGCCCTCTACCCCCCCCCACATACACACAACCACACACATTTGCTGGTGCCTTCCCTAAAATCCTCCCTCCTTCTTCAGTCTGTTCCTACCTCTGGACCCTTGCAGTTTGCTCCCTGGAACAGCAAGGTCGAGGTGAGAAAAATACATTCGTACACCAACGGTTTCCTTCGCATGTCTCTTCTTTCTCTATTTAAGCAGACATTTATTTACAGACTCCTACTCTTGAAGTGGAATATCCCTGAAGCCACGGAATCTTCCTACAGCCCTTACCTGAGTGTGCTCTTGTGTTAAACACACAACTTGACATTGGTCCTTTGAAGCTGCACATTATACTTAGACCCTAGATAATCTGTGGAACATTAAATGGTGTTAAAGTTAAAATGTTTTGCGAGTAGCCACGTATTAAAGGTTAATACTGTTGCTTGTCTGCACAGCTCTACTGCCTATGCACCTCCACCCAGCTTAGTGTCGTCTGAAAATTGGCTATCCGTGCACTCAATTCCATTCTCCAAACCATTAACTAGACCAGGAGCAAGCAAGTATCTCAACTGAAGTGCCACTTCATGAGTTTTGGTGAGCTGTCAAGGGCCGCAAGTGTAGCCCCATCCCTTGACAGGTGCCCCACCTCCTGGTTGCCATCTCCTAACCTCTGACCTTTGCCACCAGAAGTCCTTCCCCTTGCCCACAGAAGTACTTCTTTTGGGAAGGGGGTTTGCCATCATGGAACCAAAAAAATCCAAACAAACTATATACTAAAATCAAACACTGATGACAATAACATATTTTAATTTTATTTTTTAAAAATATTTTGGTCCTAATTTGTGTGTTTCTGTTGCATATATAGAGGTGATTGCATAATAGCTCAAAATTAATTCTTACTCTTGTATATTGCGGGGGATGTGGGGGGGTGGGGGCAGGTGCGTGGGTGGGGGCTGTGGGAGTGTGCATGGATGTGTGTGTATGTGGAGTGTGAGGGACAGTATGGGGGTATATGTAGATGTGGGTGGGTAGGTATAAGGGGTGTGTTTGTGGGGATGTGTGTTAGGTATGGGGTTTGTGGGGTGTGTGGAGGGGGAGGGTAGCTGGGAGTGTGTGGGGGTGGCTGTGTGGTATGCATGGGTGGGTGTGGGTACATGTGGGGTGTGTGTGTATGCATAACAGTGAGCAGGGATATGTGTGTGGGGGTGCATGGGGAGGGGAGGGTATAGGTGGGTGCAGTGTTTGTGGAGTGCGCAGTTGTGTGTGAAAATCTGGCCCGATGTAACTTAACACAACACTTTTGCTTGGAGTAAATTTAACAGGTGCCATATACCCATTGGTAAGTAATGATCTTTTTCTCATTGCTATCTCCAATTGACTTCAATTAGAGTCTTGCAAGCAGAACTTGACCTGGAAGATGTGCCTGTCTGGTAAGTTATAGTCGTGTTGTATAGCCGCTGATAATATGTTCTTTAGATCCATATTCCATCATGTTCTGACCTCCAGGTTCTCTGGAAATGCACAGTATTTTCTTTCTGCGTTTGATTGAAACAATTGTGCAAATGCTTCTGATCAAGAAAATCCCAGCTATGACTGCAAAGTAGCTGCCATAAATTAGAAACTAAAGTAAAAAAGTACAATTAGTGAAATCTGTACAGTATTAGGGAAGCAAATCTTTTCTGATCATTAAAATATATTGATATCACAATTGTGTCCCTCCCTATTTTCCAAGTAGAACCTTAATTGGAATTAAGCATTATCATTTGAGTAGCTTGCCAGATGTCAGGGGATCTTTTGCAGCTACCATAGTGATTCCTGTTCCATTCTCCTATTTATCCCTAGCACTGTAAAAGGACTGAAGGAAACTTTTAATCTCAAATGATTCCAGGCGCTGGAATGGCTCACTAGGATCTAGACCCACTTTGTAAATAAGAGCAACCATCAGAGCTGCTACTTTATGTTGCAAATGAATGTCATGGGATGGGGTCCTCAGGGATGGCTGTAATACCCCTAGGTCCCCTTGACTGTGTCAGTCCAGCCCAATGGGCACCCTCTTTCTTGCTTGCCACGTCTTTGCTCGTAATTATAATATAGGGAGGCTGCCCTTGATCTTATTGTCTGGACATGGTCCTGCTGGACCCCCCTGAACCTCATGAGTTCTCGGATCCTGTTTTGGATCCCACTCAAAATGGGTGCCTCCTGGAACACCCTCAGCCTTATGGGCTACATGCATGGCTCCAAAACTGCCCCTTTACCATGCCCCAAGCCTCACAGATGTCATATTCTACGCCCCAAGCCTCACAGATGAAATATTCTAAATAACAGCCAACATGGCTTTGATGCAGGCAGGTCATGCCTGACCACCCTAATCTCCTGTGGTCATGCTGGAAGACAGGCTGATTTGGACAGGCTTGTAAAGTGGGCGGATCTTAACCTGATGAAATTTAATGCCGAGAAATGTAAAGGGCTCCATCTGGGGAGAAATAACCCACAAGATACTTATAGACTTGGTGGTGCTACATTAGCCAACACCACAACTGAAAGAGACCTGGGGATCACAGCTGACCATAAAATGAACATGAGCCACCAGTGTGATGCTATAGCTGGCAAAGTGAACAACACTCTGGCATACACCAACTGATGCATCACAAGCAACACTAAGGATGTCATCCTCCTGCTCTACTCAACAGGGGTGAGGCTGCAGCTGGAATACTGCCTCCAGTTCTGGGTGCTGCAGTTCAAGAGGGATGTGGAGGAGCTGGAAAGAGTCCATAGGAGGGCCACATGAATGACTAGAAGTCTGGAGAACAGACCACGCAAGGAGAGGCTGATGGACTTGGGACTGTTCTGCCTGGAGAAGAGAAGACTCAGAGGGGACTTGGTGGCAGCCTTTAAGTATATAAAGGGTGTACATCAGGGGCTATGAAAACACCTGTTCATGAAGGCACCCCAGGGGAAGACTAGGAATAATGGTCATAAACTGATAGAGGATCGCTTCAGACTAGACATTAGGAAAAAACTTCTTTATGGTTCATGTGTCCGGAGTCTGGAATAGACTCCCCCCAAAGGTGGTACAGTCACCTTCCCTGGGAATCTTTAAAAGACAACTGGATGCACAACTCACTGGAGTAATCTGACCTCAGCAATCTTTCCAGCCTTGAGCAGGGGGGCTGGACCTGATGATCTCTGAAGTCCCTTCCAGCCCCTAACTACTATGAATCTATAAACAGAGATTTTTTTGTTTTTCCCATGGAAAACTAGGATCCCTGATGATAAGGTATCACTTCCAACCATGTTCATTTGAATCTCAGTTGCTGAAACTGTAAAACAAGAACATATCTTCAAACATCTGTTGATTTACACTGAGAATTCCCTTGCTTATGTCAAAATTATACCCTGTTTCCTTTCCTCCCAGGGTACACAGATCAGCAACTGTACTGTACTGAATCGTATAGTCTCATTTTGGGATGTGAAAGAGGAAATGAGCAGTCTCATTGCCTTGCAGGATGCACACAGATCAAGAAGCAAAATTTTTGCTGCTCTTGATTAGAAAAAGGGTGGGTTGGGTTTTACTATAATGAAAAATAATTAACTGTAAAGTAATACTTTACAGGAACATGGAGAATCAGTTAAATATTTGAGATTCCATCTTTGCCTCTACTTCAGTAGCTGATCCTACAAACTGTTACATGAACAAGACACCATTTTGGAAATGTCTGTTTTTCATTTCTCCACCTTTCATTATCAGTACATTGTTGTTTCCCTTTTAAATGCACAGCAGTTACATGACATGTACATGCTCACAGGCAGTATCAGCAAAAATCACTTATACTTAGAGTGCTATAATTCTACTCCCTTCATGAGCAATGCCTTTAGTTCAGACCAGGGTTTGCCTACCCCTGTGCTCGTAACTTTGTCATGCACCAAAATAGCTGAGACACCCTATCAATTTTCTCATGTCACTTTTCTGGTGGTTCTCCCTACTTCCTCCTTCTTCCTCTAAGATGCTGGTACTTCCTTCCTTATTCTCTGTGAACCAGAAACCATTGTATTCATGACATTTTCAAAGAGTAAAAATAGTTTATGAAGGTATAGCTGGAGTGTCAATTTCTGTCGAAACTGAACAAAATTTCACTAGGGGCAGGAATGGGTTAGTTGCTTAGTGTATATCCTTACTAGATAGCTAAATTTCTTTATTACCACCCCCCTTGGTAAAGAGTAGTAGTAATAACCAAATGGGGGAAAGTAAGACAAAATTTCAGTAATTTGACTTAAGCTACAGAACAGGTCTCTCTGAGCTGGAATTGGAATGCAATAGCATTCCTTATTCCTAGTTTTGTCGGGTTTGTTTTTTAAATTAATCCACGCTGCCTCAGTGCTGCTGAACTGTCAGCACACCTCATGCTCAGAGTTGGGCTTGATTTCTTAGCAGGAAGAGTTAATTTACTGTATTTACTCCAGTTGAAGATGACCCTGATTTATAAGACGACCCCCAATGATTACATTTTATATATGAGAAATGTATAAATTTGTTATAAGTTTTCAAGTATAGAATCTAATTATTGGAGATTTGCCTTGAATTTGTCCCCCTCCCACTGCTACTGCAGCAAAAATAAATCTGGGGGGTCAGGTAACCCCACTCTTGACTAGAACTGGGTGTTCTTGTCATGAGTCCTGGGATGCACCAAAAATGTATGTGCAGATGAGGTGCAGGACAACCTAGTCCAGCTTCACCTTATGGAGGGCAGTACCACAATCATGTGTATCAGGCTGAGAGAGGGGGTGACTGGGATTCTGGGTGAACTGGTTGAGGCCCCATTTCATGATGCTTGACAGACATTTAAGGCTGGTAAAGAAACAGGAATAATTGGAAATGGTAAAGAAAGGCACAGCTCAGCTGTGAGAATGAAGAGGAAGTAAAAATGCATGGAGAATATAGTGGTTTACCATGTAAATGTAAGGTGAAAATACCACTTACCTGAGTAACTATATCCAGTCCCAGACCTCTTGCATCAACAACAACAACAGTTAGAGTAGTCTGAATCACCAGTGCGATAAGGTTGTTGAATCCAAACATCAAAGCATAACGTTCCATGCTTAGATTGATAGCAATCTGAAATCTTGTATTATACTTATTAGTTAGTTCAACTTCAACAAGCATAAAAATTGTAGCTTGTCATGTTGTTGATTAAGGGCAGTGTTAACATGTAAGGTTTGTCAAATTAGGGATGAGGTGTAATTTTACAGCCTCCTGGATAACAATTTAATAGGGAGCATATGGTAGAGAAAGTATTCAACCCATGCCAGTACCTTGGAAGTAATAAATCAAGTCTGATTACTGAGCCAAATGCTGGACCTTGTGTCCCAGGATCAGAAGAATTAATTCTCTGGGCTCTGAGAGACAGTCATAGTCAGTTTTTGTTCTATGGTTTGACTATGGGATAATTTTTCTTTTGAAAAGATGTTAATGTTTTCTTGTAAATTGTATCTTTTTGGTTTTCTCATCAGAAAATGTACTAGTTCCTTTTGCAGTGCATTTCATGCGGATTTTTATTAGATCTCTGAAGTCTTTGGGCTTGTGTACACATGCCTCTAGAACTGGTTAAACTATTTGTGGTGCATAGAGCAACATATTTTTAAATATCTTGAGATTAATTATTTGTAATGAACAAATTCAAGAGTAATCTGATTGAGTCATGGATGGTTCACAAACATGGGCCAAATTCCATAGACTATTATTTCCATAAGTTCATAGTGCATTCAACATTCAGGAGTTGGATTTTAGATTTAATCACTTAAGTTGCCTCATGGATGAGCTATTAGTGAAAACAGGGGCCATTCCTGAAGAAATCCATGGGATATTATGTCTTTGAGGCGAGCAGTGTCTGGAGAAGAATAAATCATGACTGGGGACTTTTCAGTAAATTTACTGTTTTCTGTTCCCTTTGCACAAGACCTGAGTATTAGATTTGACTACGTATATGGATCCCAGATTTTAAAATGGCTGGATTTCTTCCTGGTTAAAGAAGATTTGTTTGCTGTTCAGCAGGTCCCACATTGGTCAGGGACAGACATTACAGTATAAATGATCAGAAACCTGTCTATGCCCATAACAGAACAGAAGTTCAGCACATGTAGATTTGTTTAAAAATGGTGCAGCCCAGCCTAAGATTTGCACCTCACACCAAAGGGAGAATGTGTATTCTGTTCAGTACTGATCTAAGCTGTGCCACTTAAAGAAAACCATGAATTTAGATTGATTCCACCCTGAATTTTTTGAATGCCTGTACCTAGCCATTAAGTATTTGCCTCTAATACATGTGTGCATTTAATCTACCCAGTGTGACTGGTTTTGATATGATTGGCTGGTATGTGTATGATTGCCTGTTTGTGCACAGCCACCTGTGCTGGATGAATAGAAGGACCTTTCCACACATGTATGAACAACCCTGAATGTTCACAGAAAAGAAAACAAAACATGGGATTAGGATGAATTGTGAAGCAGATTTACCAAACTTTTTTGTTAATTTTATTTTCCCACTACTTACCCAGGCTAAAAATAAGATCAGTTCAGCTGAAGCATTTAGTTGAAACAAAATATTTTGAAGTAACTGAAATGTTTTAGTCTCCTTTTTATATAAACCAGCTTTTTTAAATGAAAAGGCTGTTTTAAACTGAAAAACCTTTAAGGAAAGTATTGACATGGGATGTTTAAAAAAATTGTGAAATGTTTCTTCAATTTTTTTTCCTGAAATGGCATTTGATAGACTCCATCCCTTTCCTGTAAATGTTTTTGGCTTTGAATCAGGATTTTCTAATGCAAAAATGTTTTGTAGGAAAGTTCCGAACCAGCTATAGAGAATATGCCTTATTGGTGAGAAACTCTGCAACTCCATAATGAGGCACAAAGCTGCTTCATTAGGATACAACTGCTAGCATTTTCTTTCTTTAATTTTGTTGGCAATTTGCTTTGGTTTTTTGTTTCTTTGTTTGTTTTGCTTGACAGTGGAAAGATGGAGGTCCAGGGTTTGTATACAATTGAGTTAATTTTTAATTTTTCTTTTGGCTTTCAGATATAAGGAAAGAACTGAAATCCACTAAGAGGCTTTTCCTTCTCAGAAAAAAATGAGGACGTAGTCATAATATTTTTACCAACACCTATTTTCTTTACAGTATGGTCAGAGTTCCTCTTATTGCTTTAAACAGAAGTGTTGATAATGGCAAAGGCTCACTAAACATTTGCTTACAATGCTCATTACTATAGAAACAGCTGAGTTCAAACCTCCAGGCAGCCAACAGTTTCTCTTGCATCATATTGTGCCAGCTGCTGAGAGTGTGCTGTACTTCTTCCTCAAACATGTTAAAACTAATTTAAGAACATATTTCACAAAGTTGCTACTGACAGCCATCTGGGTAAGAAGCTGAATTGTGCAAGGCTTAGGCAGCTGTCATCTCTATACTAAAGCTTTAAAAATATAGCAATAGCATAAAAATCCATTAGAATTCACTGATTCTTTCCTTTACACACACAAGTGCACATTTTTAATATTTGTCAGCCTGCTTTTTAAAGAACATATATGTTTGTACCAGTTTACTGCCCCCCCCCCCCGAGGATGGGGGAGTATTTAGGTATAGCAGTAGGCTTATTTAGGAGACCTAAATCCATTCCATCCCTTCTGTATCTCAAATATAGATTATAGCAATAAATAGCCTGAACCAGACCAAATAAAGATGGCAATTAAAACTTCTAGTTGAAATCCTCAAAGCTTTTCTATTTATATTGAAATGTTATATCTTATTCCTTCTGTAGGAGCCACTGGCAGGTGGTCTCTTTCAGTCCTCTTGTCTGTATTTGACATTGTCCTGGGTAGCTGGCATCTTCTGAATATTTCATACTACTCTAACAACCCACTGATTTGAAAAGAGAGTAGTGTATTGATCTCATTCAGGATGAGCATAATCTGTAATTGATCTAAGAATAGGCTTTATTTCTCTTAATCTAAGGTTTTATTGTTTGAGAATTTGGTATAGAATAAAATAGTGATGTACTTACGTTGCTATTGTTATGAGGAGCATGTAACATGCTTTGAAAACTAGGTAGCCAGCATAGCATGCCCAGATATTGGCAGTAAAATGCATGAGAAACAGAGAACCAGCATTCACTGCAGAGAAGATCCCCAAGGCTAGCTCTCCTGAAAGATCCCAGTTTATTTTCACATATCCTACTCCCAAGGATGTTACTGAACCTAGAGAAAAGATAAGAACATTTGAATAGTGACTGTTCTACCGTTAAATGGCAATACCTACAGATCTCATATTGGATAATATTTCCAGTCCTTCCTTTTTCGCGTCCTTATCAAGGTATTCAGCAGAATTTGCAGATTCATTGGAATCTGACAGGCTATGCTGTGAGTGCTTCTGCTGTGGCATTGAACTTGCAACATCTGGGCTGTTAACCTTCTGGCTTAGTGTCCACACTACCCCAGGCCCCATTATTTTCAGCTGAAAATACAGTAGTTTAATTCATGCAAAAGATGAGTCATTTTGGGATGCACGTTAACATTCTTGCCATATTTTTCTTAATAACAAATGATGGATACAGTTATACTTGGGCTCTTTGGGGGACTCTTTAGCCACTGTGTTCTGCTTATGGGTTCCAAAATTTGTCAGTCTGCTTTGGGTGGCTTTAGCTCAGTCTGAGTCCTAAAACAAATCCTGATGAATTTGCCAAGTCTATGGGGTTCTCTCAGCATTGCTAGTCTATTTTCATTGATTTTGACATTGATTTGGTCTTGACTATCTAGTGTGATAATAAATATTGATAATTTGGGAGGGAAATCACAAACCCATATACAATAGCATTCCTAGAGAATGGGCAGTTTCCTGTGGTTTTCCTGGACAGTTCTCCACAGCAATCCATGTGTGAACTTGCACGTCCTTGTAAGATTTGGCATAAGGAATGGCTGTCAGAATGTCTAATGGACAAACCCATTAGAAGACTCTCTTGCCTTGTTTTATCATTTGAACCAGTGCAAAATGAATGGAAATTACTGCCAAATAAGCTTGGTAGCATTATACCAATCTGTTTTGCAGGTTGCTGTGCCATGGTACAAATAACTATGATCAATAACTACAAATAATTGCAGGACAGCAATACAAATAATTGTAGGATGGCAATAATTGCAGGATCATACCACTATTTTTTTAACTCCGTTGTCTCCAATGTCTCATACCAATTCCCCTAAAATGAAAGGGGAGAAATATTTTCTGGCCCCACATTTTTCACAAGACTATTTGGATTTAAAAGGGAATCTGATTAGAGTTTATAGTTGCTTATCATTCCATATAGTTACTCAATATTGCAGCCATTATTTATAGCATGATGAAGCAGACAGACTATTCACAGGAGAAAGCAAGGTATGGATATCACAAGAAATTCTTAATCTGCTCTTTGTCCTAATAGGCTGCCACTTCAAAACTGAGGCTTAAACTGATGCAATTTTTAATCAAGGATGCTTCAAAACTTGAAAATTACATTTGAAATCTAATTGATTTTCCTCCCATTTTAATAACACAATCTTGTATATAAACTGGAGTTTTATCACGAGAAGAAAGCTTCCCAATGTGCATATACGCCATATATAATAGAAGGACTGCTAACTTTTTTTAATGTGATCCATATCCTGTTATGGAGTGTCCACAGAAACTTCCTTTTTCATTCATGAATGGATAACATCCCAGTAGCAACTGCATCAATGCAGACATGGAAAGCAGTTGCAAATCAGCCATGCATTTTTTAATTCATTTAAGTGGAATTTAGTAGCAGGACACAGAGACTTTATGATGCTTAGGCTCCCTACAGACACTTGTTAAGTGCTGCATAGGACACAGAGGATCTCCAGACCACAGTTGGGAGCCCTTGTATTACCAGAATCAGTCGCGGTACTGTACTTCTCATGAACTGTTATTTCAACATACAACTCACTTTCTCCTTTTGTGCTACGGCTGGACACGCTGGACATAGACTTAACATGTTAGGATACAGGCGGTCCTTGACTTACATTTTGAGTTATGTTTTGTACTTATAATGTTTATAAATTTGACACCCTGTTTCAACTTCAGCAGGTCCTGATGATCTCCACCCCAGAGTGCTGAGGGAATTAGCAGAGGTCATTGTGGGACACCTGGCATGGCTTTATGAGCACTCGTGGTGCTCTGGTGATGTGCCAGAGGACTGGAAAAGGGCCAATGTGGTTCCCATTTTCAAAAAAGGGAGGAAGGAGGACCCAGAAAACTATAGGCCAGTCAGTTTTACCTCGGTCCTGGGTAAGCTTTTTGAGAGAATTATCCTGGTGCATGTCCATGAGGGGCCAGCAGGGGAGATTATGCTTAGGGGCAACCAACATGGGTTCATTAGAGGCATGTCCTGTCAGACCAACCTGGTGGCCTTCTATGACCAGGTCACAAAATCCTTGAACGTGGGTGTCGTGGTGGAGGTACTCTTTCTGGACTTTAGGAAGGCCTTTAACACTGTCTGTCACCCCATTCTCATTAAAAAACTAGGAGACTGTGGCGTCAACACCTACACAGTCAGATGGGTCACTAATTGGCTGGAGGGCTGCACCCAGAGAGTGGTGGTGGACAGGTCAATTTTGACCTGGAGGGATGTGGGCAGTGGGGTCCCCCAGGGCTCAGTCCTCGGGCCCTCTTGTCCCAGGAGTGACAAGAGATAACCGTCACAAGCTGGCGGAGGGTAGATTTAGGTTAGACATCAGGAGGCACTACTTCACGGTCAGGGCGGCTAGGATCTGGAACCAGCTTCCAAGAGAAGTGGTGCTGGCTCCTATCCTGGGGGTTTTTAAGAGGCAGCTGGATGAACACCTCGCCGGGGTCATTTGACCCCCGTACTCTTTCCTACCGTGGCAGGGGGTCGGACTTGATGATCTGCTCAGGTCCCTTCCAACCCTACTAACTATGAAACTATGAACTTTCTGACGTCAGTTTCAACTTTACAACACTTGATCTGACACGATGCCACACTAGTGAACAAGTTTACTACATTGTCTATGTTCCTGGAGAGCATCCATCTAAACTTGCTTGGACACTTTCTTTAAGAAAGCAGACAAGACTCCAGAAAAACCTGCAGCCAAGACGCCTGAGAAGACTCCAGCCAAGAGCCCTTCAAAAAGTCCAATAAAGTCACCCCAAATAAGTTTTTCCAAATCAATATGATTGCTATTTACAATATTAAGTGCATTGATGTAGCTATATTGTTCATCTATAATTGATTGAGTACAACATTCTGGGTTATTTTTGGTGAAAGTAGGGTATCAGGCCTTGGTTCAGGAACCAATTCCCATTTATAACATTGTTTCCTATGGGAAAAATGGTTCTGAGTTACAACGTTTTGACTTAAGAGACAGTTTTCAGAAACCAATTTTGTCATAAGTCCGAGGACTGCCTGTATATTTGAAATGCAAGTTCCTTTACCACTGGAAATTCTTTGATATCGTTTACTTACTCAGGAAAGTTGCTATTGCTTCCACAGCCCCATTGTATACTGCAGAGCTCTGGGAAGGTGCCCTGTGGTCCCATAACACCTGGACATAATTCAGGACCTGATAGAAGCCTGCAGTGGCTAATGCCCACCAGAGAGACCAGTAAAGAAGCCTCTTTGTGCCGTAGCACTCCTTC